CGGCAATATTGTTTTAAATACTTAAAAGTAGAGTCATATATTCCAGTCTAGCGCATTTAAAGATAGTAAATCCCCATAGGAGCCTTTGAATTCAGTTTTTTGTCTCTCCTGTAAAATTTACGAAATCGGAGTTGGACGGTTAGAATTCTCCGCCGACGTTATGTACCTCCTTCCCTACACACACATACCACCTTTGGTAACCAAAGAAACAAAACAAAACAAAGACACTGTCAAAACCAAATAAGCACAAAACGCAGTAAAAAATTGACTATACTGAGCTATCAAAAATTGAAAGTTTACAAGACTGTGTAAGCACATAAATGGTATCGTAGCTTGTTTTTTTTATTAGTAGTAATACATCAGCAGTCACAATCCAAGTAAAAACTTCACGTCAATGATTCACCAAATAATTCTCACAGTCAGAAGAGTAACAATTAAATACAGACACAAAATACTTGTCATGACAACACGGTGAAAGCTAAAGGGTTTTAACATAACTGTAAAGCAATAACCAGCACAATAACCATCCTGAACAATGGTCTGCTGTCATGTATGAAGCAGGCCAACTTTCATATGGACAATAACTTCCATTATAATGCATTGACAATTTCATTTTGTCCATATCATATCGTCACTGTCTCGAAAAAAAAAAAATAAAAGAAAAATAAAATAGTTCTCTCATTTGACCGTGTTTTACAGAGTCACAAAAATAAACAGAGGGAGTCACTAATTTTTTTCCTTACCACAGCAACGATTACATTGTATTAAAAAATTAAAAATCAGAAAAGGAACAACTGACTTCTTACCAACAAAAAGAACAGAACAAAAGGGATCCAAAATAATAATAATAACTGACAAACAGGTAGACCACTATCTTACTGCTCTCCTGAAGAGCAAAGCGACAAAAATACTTACTCAGAAAATCATTCTCGAAGCATGCATACTAAAGCTACGTCTTTATAAATAAAGAGTCAAATCAGTACAATGGAATAACTGACGAAGTGCTATGTCTACATTGATCAGATTATTACTGAAAGACTAATGTACAAATTTCTAACTAATGTGAAAGCAGACTGTTATAACCTGCAAGATTCACACACTATTCTTACACGTTAAACTCATCCTAACCAATCCTAGCAAAATAGAAACACATTTATTTGGTAGATCCATCATAAATAATAAGTCATCTCCGAATTGGGGGGAGAGGGGGGGAAGAAGAAAAACAACCAACTCCAAATACATGTAATCCAGAGACAGCAAATTTGCCAACAAACGCAAAAGGAAAGTGCATAGTAAGTTTGTAAACTTCCATGAAGTACATGTAAATATGGCAGCTTGCTTACAAACTTCGGAAACTTCCAAAAGTATCCTAAACGGACAAATGGATTAATTGATACTGTTGGACAATAACTCAGAAAGCATCCAAAAAAACAAAACAAAAAAAACTTTACTGATATTATTTGTGATCCTCACACGACCTCAGGTGCAGCTATAAGATGAAAAGCATTATTCTTAGGAGGAGTTTGTAGTCTGTGTTACACAATGTTGGGTCACAACTTTGGAATTTTTCTTTCTATAACGAAGAAAATAACAACCATTAAAAATGTAATTTGGAAGCGAAAGTCACACACACACACACAAAAAAGACACACCACAAAATAAAAAAACAACAATAACACATGGTCATTCTACAAAACTATCTGGATGAGCTCATGCTCAGTGGCGATCTCTGTGTTTTGTTCTGTTCCTGTTCCTAATGCCACTCCGTATTCTCCTGATTCTCGTCATGCGGAGATCCGAGCGCCGCTTCAGATCAGCTTTGCCTTCCTTGTACAAGGAACGCAGAGTGTCTTCTTTACGTACCGGCTCCAACTTGCCTTCTTTGCGGAGGTATCTGCGATATGAAAAAGAATCACATGAAGCATGGGCGTAATAGAAAAGAACAATGAATCTTATTATGAACGCCGCTTCTATCAAATCACAGTGGGATTGCAACAAGTGGAATAGGATAGGAGGAGGAGGAGGAGGAGGAGGAGGAGGAGGAGGAGGAGGAGGAGGAGGAGGAGGAGGAGGAGGAGGAGGAGAAAATGGAGAAGGCAGAGAAGAAGGAGAAAGATGAGGAGGAGGAATGTTTGTTGTTAAGAGAAGCACATCGATACAATAATGGTCATTTAGTGCAAGCAAAAAGTAAGGTAGGCAGACAGAAACGACAGGGAGAAAGTAAAGAAGTAGGACCTACCAGTGGTGCCTTTCAATCACCCAGGAGGAGGAGGAGGAGGAGGAGGAGGAGGAGGAGGAGGAGGAGGAGGAGGAGGAGGAGAAAGAAGAAGAAAAAGGAAAGAGGGAGAGAGGAAGAGAGAGAGAGAGAGGGGAAGAGAGAGAGAGAGGAAGAGAGAGAGAGAGAGAGAGAGAGAGAGAGAGAGAAGAGGGAGAAAGAGGAGAGAGAGAGAGAGAGAGAGAGAGAGAAGAGGGAGAAAGAGGAGAGAGAGAGAGAGAGAGAGAGAGAGAGAGAGAGAGAGAGAGAGAGAGAGAGAGAGAGAGAAAGAGAGGGGGGGCAGACAGACAGACAGACAGAAACAACAGAGGGGAGGTAAAGAGGTAGGGAGTACCAGTGGCGCCAATTTATCAAAAACCCACAAAGGAGGAAGTGGGAAATTGTCGTTAGTACAGGAGGTTGTCTTGGAAAGGTGGCCGTTATAGCAGGTTCGACTGTATTCTATAGGGGACCAGGCACACTGAACTATGCATTTGTGTACTTGTACTATTATTACAGGCTGAGCAACCGGCGTCTGTGGAGTAACTGTAGAGAGCGTCGCTGTCGCACGCCACAGGCCCGATTCTTGAAATTCCCGAGTGGGGAACATTTTTATCGAGTGAGTATCCCAGTCTTTCTACTGGGACGTTGTATGTATCCCTGTCAGCCCGGGTTGGCCCTGACAGGCAGGGTCGGAAGCCCTCCTCCTAAATGATCTAAATTGTGTCGACAGAGACGTAAACACATCTACATTTTTTTAAAAGTCAACACCAAAAACAAAACAAAAACACACAAAAAAAACCCAACAACAACAGACTGAGCGGCTGCATCTCGCGCAGTCTGAAGAATCTAGATCAGCTATTGATATCGTTTCCGGATCCAAGTTGAATTTATTGATCGCCCGACTCGCGACCTTGAAAACAAACAGGTTAGTTTTTTAGGCTTATCATCGGCTTCGTTCGGCTTGTGCCACGATGGTCGCTTTTCACCTTCAATTTTTATCTACGGGTGAACGCCCCGCGCTGAGGTATGACCAAAGACAGTGTATATGGTATGACTACGACTATGACTGCCATATATACATCACGAGACTTATAATTCGCCAACGACGCGCGAAGGCCTTCCTCATTATCCCCAGTGTCTAGCCAATCTTTAAGTTAAGCCGACAACGTCGTGCTACAAGCCTATACATCCATACGCCTTGTGAATGTCAATGACGTGTAGATCTAAGTGTCAGTGAAGGGAAACGTGTGGATTTATTTCCTTTTGTAGCTCAAACACCCTAGCTGACAACAATATCGAGGACCGTCACAAAGCGTTTTAGTTTTAGTAAGAGTTCTACGGTACTCGCAACACAATAAGGTCATTTAAGTGCCGAAGATTAGAGGTGTTACAAGAGAGTAACAAACACAAAAAGAAGGAGGAGAGATCAGGACGATAGATGTTTGATAGGAAAGAAGAAGCAAACCACACCTGAGCACCCGCCAAACACCCACGTCGCAAAGTGTAAGTATGTCAATACTTTTTCCCCCAACGTAACAAGCGTTGTGTAAATTGTTTTTGTAACAAATAAAAATGATCATGTCATTGAAGAGACCAATGAAGATCGAGTGTTACCCCTGATTTAATTAAAGAGAAGGACTTGTTCGACACTGACTGCGAGTCGTGAGGGCCGATGATAAGTGAGTGAGATTCAGCATTCCAGTTGAGCGACAGAGATGCATTAATAAATTTACTCCCCCCCCCCCC